CCCAACATGGTGTATTACATGATTGATTTTTGTATGTTCAACTAAGTATATCCCAGGAATGGTGTATACTTGGTCATGTGTATATTGCTCTTTCTGTGATGCTAGATTCAGTTTCCTAATATTTTGTTGGTGATTTGTGTGTCTATACGCCTAAGGGGTATTTATCTGATGTCTTTGGTTTTGTGTCAGGGACTTACAGAATGACTTATGAAGCATTCCCTCCTCTTCTGTTTTTGGGAAGAATTTGTGAAGTATTGGTGTTCTTTAAATGTTTGGTAGATTTGAAGCTAATGAAGCTGATCTCATCTTGAAATTTTCTTAGTGGGAATTTTTTTGATTACTAATTCAGTATCATTAAATGTCTGTTCAGATATTGTTTCTTTTCGAGTCAGTTTTGGTAATTCCTGTCTTCCTAGTGATTTGTCCATTTCATCTAAGTTATCTAATTTATTCATATATAGTTGTTATAGCATTCATTGATTATTTTTTCATTGATGTAAATATTTAAAGCTAGAAATTTCTACCTGAGCCCTGCTTTAGTTATAGCCCATAAATTATTTTTATCTATTTTTTATAGCAGTTTTGCAATTTCAGTTTGTATTTCTTCCTTGATCCAGTTGTTGTTAAGAGTTTTTAAAAACTTTTTTTGGTAGAAAGGCTCTTGTGTTTTCTGATTTTGCTATTTTTAGTTTGTTTGTTGTGCGTTTGAGTATGTATGATTTCAGAGAAGTGTGATTTCTATTTTTTGAATTTGTTGAGGTTTTTTTTTGGTTATGAATATTCCCATGGACATCTAAAAATTTTTTTTATCATCATGTCTGTGTGTTCTCTACTTTGAGGGTGAATATGTGTGTCTTTTCGGATAATCTGGAAGTCTTTAAAAAATTCTTTTCATGATCAGTTTTTATCTTCAAATAGTCTTTATTGCTGGATTAGCAGTTTTCTTTTCACCCTGGTGATAACACATGAGGAAATCAGTGTATTTGCACCTTGTCTTTTTGATACAGTATTTCTACATTGTTTATAATGTTTGCATACATAGAGATGTTCTTATGCTAGATTAAATGGACTCTAGTCACTTCCAGTTATTGGCCCGGCATTCTTTCTACAAGAAGGACTCATGGGCACTTTCTCTAGGGTCTCTGAGTTCATATTTGAAAATGTTTGTTTATTGCTTTTATACTTAAATGAAAGAACATCTATTCTTTGCTAGGTCAAAGGACACTTTAAAATATGTAGTAAATGTTCCCAAAGTATGCCAATTTACACTCTTAAATAGTACCTGACCACTCTGCTAACGATTATTTCCTTTAGTCTTTGTCAGGGTGATAGGCATAAAACACATACTTCATTTTAGTTTTGGTTTGCAGTTCGGTTCTGCCCTTGTGCCTGAGATCGAGTGCCTTGTCAGGTACTTCAGAGCCCTTTGTCTTTGTGCTCCGGGCCCTGTATTATGTCCACTTCTTGGTTTTGGTGGCCCTTTTTATATTAAGAAAATTACCCTTTTGTGTCATTTGAGATACCAGGTTTTTTTTTCCTAGTTGTGTGTGTTTTTATTTTGTTTATGATATTTATTACTACCTGGAAAATGTTAATTCTGTGTTGCCTAGTGTTCATTAGTCTTTAGTTTCATGGCTTCTGGAATTTGTGCTCTGTTTAGGAAGGCATAGCCCCACTATGAGATAATTTTTAAAAATTTATATTTTCTTGTAGTAATAATAAATTTTCCTCCACACCATATATTTTGAGCCACAAATTATGAAGAATTTATATTGGCATGATGCATGAAATGGGTCTCTGATGTAACCTTTTTTTCACATGGCAGCCAGTTGTCTCAGCAATATTTATTGATCAATCCATGGATATTTAATTTTGGAAATCATCAGTGTAGCAATGGGAGCAGATGGAATCCCCTAGGACTATATTATTGAGGGAGAAAAGAGGGCCTAGGCCTGAGTCTTGAAAGAATCCCAGAATAGCAGTTTTTGTTTGAGGAGGATGAGCCAACACAGGAAATCGGGGAGGAGCACCACAGAGATAGGAAGTGAGGAGCCTGGGAACTCAGGAATCGAGTATCTCAAGTGGAAGGGAGAGGCTGGCTGAGTGGAAGTTCTCTGAGAGGTTCAGTAAGATGGGGACTGGGAGTTGCTGATCAGATCCAGCCACATGAACATCACAGAGATGTGGGTGATTGCTCTTTGGCGGAGTGGTGAGGCAGATGCTAGGTTCAAGTGGGTTCAGAAGGGAGTGAAAGGTGGGAGATGGCAAATGGTGACAGTTGTTTCAAGAAGCATATCTGTGGGTGGAAGAGCAAACACCCCTTTGAGGAAGGTTTTTAAAGGTGGGAGAGGTTTTTGCATGCTTCAGTGCTCATAGGAAGCATCCAGTGAAGAGGGTGAGGCAGAGGCAACAGGTGAAGGAGATGATCAGCAGTGGAAAGTTCCCAAGAAGAGGGCACAAGACCTCAGTCTGAGACAGAGGGACCTGCCTAAAGTAGGAGAGACCACTTGTAATGTTGCAGCAGGAGGAATGGAGGCAAGGATGGAGGTAGAACTGTCTGTGTTCACCTCTTCTTGTCTTTAGAGTAGCAGTAGGTTAAAAACTGATGATAGAGGTGGGATGGATGGTACCTGTTAGGTTCAGCAGGAGTCAAGGTCATGTCCTTGAGTTGCTGGCTGAGGTAAAGGTGGGAGAAACATATTGCAGATCCAGAGGGTCATCCCCATCTGGTTCCAAATTAGGACCTTTGGCTTAGCTGCTGTATGGGGCATGGTGGGGTGGGGCGGGTGTAGAGGTTCTGGGACGTCAGGCCCAAGGGTCAAGCTTCTCACAGCCCATTGCTCTCCCCCCACCCCCCAGCCCCGCTTTCCACTTGGGCTTTGTTTGCTATCCCACAAATCCTAGCTCTAGCCATGGCCTCATTCCTGTTGCCACAGTGGTAGAGAGCCACCCCCCCTCCCCGCCCCAGCCCATACCCACTGATGCTCTGTGCTGAGACTTCTGAGGCTCTGTTCTGATCCCTTTTGGGAGCTCTCCTACAAGCTGTCTTTGAGCCTGTGGCTTAAAGCATAAGGAGAGATTGTCCAGGGACTGGTTTCTGTTGCTCTTGACTTCTTGGGGACATCCAGCCTTCTGTAATCCCGGTGGGGAAGATCTTTTTGATTGAGCCTTTATGTTGGAAACTGTTGGCACAGTTCAGAGGCAGAGGAGATAATTCTGCATGGGCTTTCTGGTGGTCTGCTTTTCTCTTTATCTGCCTTTGATCTGATCCTGAGCATCTTCTTTTCTGCAGGGGGACATAAACTTGCCTGATTCCAGTGACTCCTGGATAGGGGATGTTCGGGGCAGTTCCGCAGTGAGGAACAGTCACCTGAGTCTGGCCGGGTCCACCTGGAAGAGCTTAGCTTACAGTGAGTGGAGGGGGGTGAGGGCACATAGCTACCTGCCTGGTTTGGGGACTTCAGGGGCTGAGGTCTGCTAGATCCTAGGGAGTCACTAGCCTGAAGTTACCAGCCCCAAGTCACTGTCCCTCAGGAGGCTGTTGCTGCCCTGAGGCCTTGATGCTCATGCTGTCACATGGCCTCTGCCCGTTCGTTGTAGGCCACAGAACCTCCCTGGGCAGCTGCTGCACTTCTCCGTCCAGCCTCTCCAGCCTGGGGATCTGCTTCTCCTCCTCCTATCAGGACTTGGCCAAGCACATCGTAGACCTCTCTGTTGCTGATGTGAGGAACTGTTCCCCTTGTCCCCATGGTTCCTTTATCAGACCTGTGCTGGGTGGGGAGGAGCGGAAATGAGGGAACGAGCAGGGCACATGAGGGCCAGCAAGGCTGCTAGCGGCTCTCCATGTTGACAGAAGGGGAATTCAGTGCATGCTGGTCAGAGCGAATGGCTAATCCAAGGGTCTGCGTTGTACTGTGCCCACTAATGTGGGTGTGACCCCTCTGTCTCCAGGTAATGGCTGCTTGCTCCGATGATCTGCACAACCTCTTCAGCCACCAGGCAGCAGCTGGCTGGAAGTGAGTGCCTTTGCCCAGCGTCTTGTCCTGGCCGGCTGTCTGTCCTGTTTGTCCTCTCTCCTTTCCCTTCTCTGCCCTGGCTTCCTTGAGTCCCTCACCCCGAGCTACGACTCTCTGAGCCTGGAGCCCAGTTTTTACCTCTTCTTCCTCTTCCCCACCCTCGGTGTTCCCCAGCTATCAGGGTGAGGAGCAGGAAGTCCAGCTTTACTACAAGATGTTTTCTTCTACTCGGCATGGCTTCCTGGGGGCAAGCCTGGTGTCCCAGCCACTGTCGCACGTATGGGCAGCTGTGAGTGACCCCACCCTGTGGCCGCTGTACCACAAGCCCATCCAGACAGCAAGGCTGCATCATCGAGTGACCAACAGCATCAACCTGGGTGAGCCCAGGGAAGACTTCCCATGGGCCGTGGCCAGGGGACAGAGGGAGCAGGGTTGGAGGCAGCCCTCTTGGGAGGCCAGATACTCCGACAACCTCTGGATCACTCAGGCTAGGTCTGCCTGTCAGGTTGCAGAATGGTGGGATATCGGGGGTGCTTCTGGGCTGGGAAGTCCGTCCACACACCTCCTGACTCTCCCCATTCCTGACCCTCCAGTATACTTGGTGTGCAATACCACCCTGTGTGCCCTGAAGCAGCCGCGGGATTTCTGCTGCGTCTGCGTGGAAGCCAAAGAGGTGCCTGTCTTGCTGGTGGTAAAGACACTGTGGGCAGACCTTGGGCTGGAGTGCTGGGAGAGGCAGTCATCGTGGGCATCAGGTCCTCTGGGCAAAGGAGGTTTGGGCGGGCGTGAGGATGGCTTAGAGGCTGGCTGCACTGAGCCTGTCCCTGTCTGACCGCCATCACTCTCTGTCCCCAGGGGCATCTGTCTGTCCTGGCAGCTCAGTCTGTTTATGACACATCCATGCCGAGACCTAGCAGGGAGATGGTCCGAGGCGAGATCCTGCCCAGTGCCTGGGTCCTACAGCCCGTCACCATGGAAGGAAAGGAGATCACCAGAGTCATCTACTTGGCCCAGGTGATCCTCCCTGTGTGGCTGGCGGCACGGAATGCCTTAGTTTGGCCCCGGCACCCCATGGGAGTTTTCTCTTGAGCTGTTCGACACCCTTCAGTGCCCAGGCCTTGTGTCCCAAGAGCCGGAGACTCGGGCTTCTTGAGTCACAGTAAGGGGGCGGTCAGTGGGGAACTGAGGCAGGAGGGGGACAGAGTTGCTCAGTCACCGAAGCGCGCAGCGGCCTTTAGCCTCTCTGTCGCCAGCGTCCTCCGGAGATAGAGGAGTCATGACAAGGGAGGAGCCGCAGCCTCCGCAGAGCAGAGCGAGCACGACCCGGTCTGTTTCCTCTCTGCTCCCAGCTCCCCACCGTGACCTTCATCAGCAGGAGGGGAAGCCCGTGCCAAGATCTGAACAGCAGAGCCCAGAGGCCTGTAAACTCTGGAAGCACAGACAGTTGGAGGAGCTCTTCCCATCACGACAGCTTGGGTGGCTCCTCGTGCCTGTCGGGTGCCTGGCACATTCTCCCACGTCCGTTCACACCTTCAGCTCTTCCCTCTCTGCTTAATTTCAGGTGGAACTTGGCGCGCCAGGCTTCCCCCCTCAGCTCCTAAGCTCCTTCATCAAACAGCAGCCGCTGGTGATAGCCAGACTGGCTTCCTTCCTTGGTAGTTAGCATCTTCCCGTCAAGATGATGCTGCAGAGATGCAGGCCCAGGACGCGCCAGTGATGCGAGGGTGGCTCTCGTCACTGTGCCACGATGCAAGGAGAGGCCAGGCTGCCGGCTGTGGCTAACCAGGCAGACAGCGCTCAGACCGAGCTGCCGGCAAAGCCCCATCAGTACTTGGGTCACAGCTGGCGCCTCTGCAGAGTGAGGGGACCTGAGCTCCTGGCCCTGGCTGGCCAGAGTGAAAGAAGCTCAACTCACCGTTTTGGACTTCTCACCTTTCTTTCCTTCCCTGGGACCCTGTGGCAGACAAGCTGCTCGAAGACCAGGATAAGCGAACTGGGAGAAGGCGGGACTCTGGCACCAAGCTTCCTTGCTCTGCCGGCCCAGCCCTTGGGCAGGGAGGGAAGCAAGCAGCCATTGGCCAGGACTCCTCGGAATCTGCCTCCAGCGTTCAGCTCCACTGTGGAATGGAGTATTGGAAAATAGCAAACCCGAAAAATGGTTTAAAAAAACAGCTGCACAAACCACAACAATGTTCAGAATCGTTTCTCCTTAGGTTTTTTACAAAATGCTTTATTATTAATTTTTGCTTCCCCCACCCCTTCCTTTCCCTCACAGGAGAGGACAGTTGGGTCTTTGCCTCCTTCAGAGTATTGAGCAATGCTCAGTCTTGGAGCCATCACTCCAGAGCTCAGAATGGGAAGACCATGGTAGAAGCAGGTTGGACAGATTTGGGGTCAAGGAGGGGAATCTAGCTCTTTGAGGAGGGGTGGGGGTGGGCAGCAAGATGCTGGCTGCTGACAGGGCAAGAGGAATTTCAAAAAGCTGAAAAGTTGCTTTTCAAAGACTGGAGAGAAGATACTAGAACTCCTAGAGGAAGTATGTGATTTGTTAGGAGGAAACTCAGTTCCGTTCCTCACCTCCCTCAGAGCCTTGGCACCAGCCTTCAGTGGTCTCTTGAGCATCCGTGCTGCTGGGGTAGGATCGCTATTCTAGGAGGGGGTGGGGAATGGGCTTGGTTTTCTTGTACCTCAGCCTGGCTGAACTTGAGCTTTGAGTATTCTGTATGGTTATGTGGAAGTGGTTGGGGTGGGAGAGAGTCCCAGCTTCCATTCTGGTGCCTACAATCTTTGGTGGAAGAGGGTGACCATATGGGGTTTGAAAAGATGTGGTGAAAAGGTCCGTTTCTGTATGGTACAGCACAGATTTCTTTAGAAGTGTTTGCAGGATTTTTTTTCTTTTACCTCAGATTGTTACTTATGTAAGATTGATTGAAGGCTTTTTAAATTGCCTTTATTTTTTTTTTTTAAAGATTTTATTTATTTATTTG